CGATCTATCTATTGCCAGAAGCTGGGAACGGGCGACAGGGGATGGGCCACTTGATGATTCCCTGCTCTGTTCATTCCCTCTGGGCACCCGGCACTGGCCACTGTCGGAGGACAGGATGGGCTAGATGGGCCTTTGCTCTGACCCAGTGGGGTCATTCTTATGTTCTTATGTATCCATCTGTCCACACACGCACACACACAGCCGTCCATTCATCCAGTGTGTGGCTCTTTTGAGCACATCCTGGGCCTGTTAGTGGAGAGAGCAAGAGCGCATGTGTGTGTCAGGGAGGCACCTGTTACTCTGGGGGGCGGGGGGGTGTCTGGGCCTGTCTATAGCAGAGGCCTTGTTGTGCGACTGGGGGGGGGTGTGGAGGAGAGGGGGCAGGGACAGGGATGTTTGTCTATTCGGGTGTCTCTCTCCCCACTGCTCGCTCGCACACACCCACACGGCATTATGCTGTGTCTATTCCATCGCTGACCTATGGGGATGGAGGCAGGCGGAGCTGGGGGGGAGGGACACTGGGAGGGTGAGGACCCCCCCCCTTCTCCCAGTGCCCTGCCCTGGGTTTCAGACACCAGGTCTCCCTACTGCAGCATCGGGGACCCCTGGCCAGAATCGGGGCCTCCCTTCCCCCAGCTCCCAACCCAGAGCAGGTCCCACCTCGTGCCAGGTGCTTGCCAGCCCCGCAGTGAGATTTGGGACCCCTCCCCCGTGCCAGGTGGTATCCCCCACTGAGACTGGGACCTAGATCCCCCCCCCACACACACACACACACAGGGATCCAGGTGCCAGCCCCCCTCCCGGGCAGGGAGCAGTCCTCCCCCTCCCCGCCCCAGCTATCCTCCTGCTCCCCACCCCCCACAGGGAGCGTTCCTCTCTCCCGCCCCCCCCCCCCCATTACAGGGAGCTGTTCTCTTGCAGGAGCCCTCCCTGGCTCCGTGTGCCCCCCTCACCCTCCATGTGCTCCCCACCCCACTGAGTTCCCCCCTCCCCACCAGGCCAGCGCCCCCACGTACCCGCAGAGTTAGCTAAGGGGGGGCTCAGAGCCCCCGGGGGAGGGATTGAGCGCAGCCGGGCACAGCACAAACCCCCACACATACACACCCCAGAGATCCCAGCCCCATTACCCGGGAACCCCAACTGCCCCCCAGCGTCTCCCCCACCGCCCTCCCCCACCCCACAAGCGCAGACTCCCCACTTTCCTCCCCTGCTTCCCAGCCCCGACCTTTCTATCCCCCCCACCCCCGTGGGAGCCCTAACATTCCCCCCACCCCCAGCTCCCGAGACTCCCCACGCCGGAGCCCCAGTCCCAGCTCCTTCGCCCCCCCCTCTGCCCACCCCAACCCCGCCGGACCTCGCCGGGGTGGGGGACGGTTAGAGCCCCAGCGAGACCCGAACCTGCCAGGGATCAGGACCAAGACTAGCAGACCCAGGTAGGAAGGACTATGGCAGTGTGTGTGTGTGTGACACAGTGTGTGTGTCTGTGTGTGTGTGTGTCTTTGTGAGTCTGTGTCAGTGTGTGGGGGTTTGCGTGTCTGTGTGTGTGTGTCTCTGTGTGTGGGAGGGGTTTGCATGTCTGTGTGTGTGTGTATCAGTGTGGGGGGTTGCATGTCTCTGTGTGTGTGTGTCTCTGTGTGTCTCTGTGTGTGTGTATGTGTGTGTGACACAGTGTGTGTCTCTGTGTGTGTGTGTGTCTCTGTGTGGGGGGGTTGCGTGTCTGTGTGTGTGTGTGTGTCTCGGTGTGTGTGGGGGGGGTTGCGTGTCTGTGTGTGTGTGTCTCTGTGTGTGGGGGGGTTGCGTGTCTGTGTGTGTGTGTATCAGTGTGTGGGGGGGGGGTTGCGTGTCTGTGTGTGTGTGTGTGTCTCTGTGGGGGGGGGTTGCGTGTCTGTGTGTGTGTCTGTGTGTGGGGGGGGGTTGCGTGTCTGTGTGTGGGTATCAGTGTGTGTGGGGGGGTTGCGTGTCTGTGTGTGTGTGTCTCTGTGTGGGGGGGGTTGCGTGTCTGTGTGTGTGTGTGTGTGTATCAGTGTGTGTGTGGGGGTTGCGTGTCTGTGTGTGTGTGTCTCTGTGGGGGGGGGTTGCGTGTCTGTGTGTGTGTGTCTCTGTGTGTGGGGGGGGTTGCGTCTGTGTGTGTGTGTGTCTCGGTGTGTGTGTGTCTCTCGGTGTGTGTGTGTGTGTCTGCCTGTGTCAATGTGTCTCTGTGGGGGGGGGGGTTGCGTGTCTGTGTGTGTGTGTGTCTCGGTGTGTGGGTGGGGTGTGTGTGTGTCTGCCTGTCAATTTCTCTGTGGGGGGGGGGGGGGTTGTGTCTGTGTCTCTCGGTGTGTGTGTGTGTCTCTCGGTGTGTGTGTGTGTCTGCCTGTGTCAGTGTGTCTCTGTGTGTGATGAGAGCGAGCCACTCAGGGGTGCCCGGGCTGGGCCCGGCACAAGTCCCCCCGCAGGGGCTGGGCCAGAGGCCAAGGGGGACACGGACACCCCCCCCCGACAGTATCAGAGCCCCACGGGGAGCCATACGGCGGGGGGGGGAAGCATCGCCCCAGCCCCCTCCCCACGCGGGGCTGCGAGCTAGAAAGCGGCGCCCCTCACCGCGGCGCCCAGAGAGGAAATGGGGGGCGGGGCTGGAGTCCGCCCGCGAGAGTGACGGGCGGGGGGGGCGAGGATTTGGGGGGGAAGCTCTCAGCCGGGGGCGGGCGGAACTGGGAATCCCCCCCCCCCCGGGAGGGCTCGCTCCGGAGATCTGCATTGGGGGGGGGGGAGACACAGACTAACCCCCCCGGATATCCAGCCCCTCCCGACCCTCCTTCCGAGGGGGGCGGGAATTTCCTCTGGTTCTCCGCCCCCCCTCCAGCGCCCGGGCTTTCCCCAGCGCGCGAGCAGCCAGCTGTGGGGAGGAGCGCGGGTTCCCCCCCCCCCCCCCGGAGCCCCATTCATTGGCAATGCACCGTGGGGGGGGTTGGTCCTGGCATCAGCAGGGCTGGGGGGGCTGCGGGTCAGGAGTGAGGGGCACTGGCTGGGCTGGGGGGGAGCCCAGGGCTGGGCAGCAAACGCCAAGCCAGGGTGCTGAGGTCAGTTTTGGGGGCCCTGCTCCCACCCAGCCCCTCAAAGACCATCATCCTGACTGGATCTGAGTCCCTGACTCTGGAGATGCAGGTGTGCAAGGGGGGGGGCACTGGGAGGGGTGCACTAGACACAAGTCCTGGTACGTGGGGCAGGAAGGGACGTGGGGGTCACTGGGTGGGGTCCGCCCTGCCTCCATGCCAAGGCAGGACCAAGCAAACCTAGCCCAGCCCTGACAGGGGTGTGTCCGACCTGGCCTTAAAAACCTACCCAGGACGGGGATCCCACAGCCCCCCACCCCCTTTGGGAGCCTGGCCCACAGCTCCACTCCCCTTAGCGGTCGCTATCTGGAAAACTCGCCAACCAAATCTCCCCCCTGCAGATCAAGCCCAGGGCGTCTCGGGAGGCCGCTCGCCCGTCACCATAATCACACCAGCTCTGTGCCCCTGAGCGTTTACGCCGGCAAAACGTATGTCACGCCGGGGGGGGGGGGGTCCTTCCCGCCTCTGAGCAACAGAAGTTTAGCCGACATAAGTGCGAGTGTAGACACGGGGCTGGAGGAGACGACCTCGCGTGGTCCCCTCCAGTCCTACGCGTCTACACCTGCTCGAGGGGTTTTTCACCCTTTCCTCGGCGGCCAGGTTTGCTAACCCTTCGATCGGCTTTTGTTGCTCTCCTCCAGACTCGCGCCACGGCTTTCTGAAGGCGGGGCGCCCCGCCCGGGACACGGTCCTGCAGCGGGGGCCGCCCCCGCGCCGAGCCGAGCGGGCCCGGGCCTGCGGTACAGACGCTCCGGGGAACACAAACCCTCTGCTCTGCACCACGTTTTGACTCTGGTCCATTTGCGAACCGCCCGCAGCCCGGCTCCCGTCAGGCCTGTTTGCAGCCTCGGCCGTTCCCTTTTCCCCCCCGGCGTTTCTCGGGCTCGCGTCGATTTCACGCCGAAAGCTCCAGGATCCTTTCGAGGTCTCGGCCCAGGCGCCAGGGTGCTGGCGATCCTAACCCCGGGGCAGCGCCCGGGGCAGGCGGGTGAGACGGGGCCGCCAGGCCAGGGACACAAGTTCCTCGCGGTGTCTCCCCTCCAGCTAGGACTCCCCAGAGGGGTCGTCGTCCAATGGGGACCGGCCCCAGAGCTCTCTGCTGGGGGCCTGGGGGCTGCAAAGGCTGCCCCCGCCCCAATGCGGGGCCAGCACCCCCGGATGCCAGCACCCCTGTCTGGTGACGGCGATTCCTCCCCCCTCCCCGTAACCCACAGCCAGCCCGAGGTCCCAGGGAAAGATGGAGCAACTCTGCCCCCTGGTGGTGAACCGCACCCAATGAAAGGGCCCTGCCGTGAACCACTGACACTCCTCCTTCAGACCGCCGCCCCCTGCCCCGGACAAATAAGTGTCAATTAAAGAACCACCCCTCCACCCCCCCACCGAGCTAGCATAGAACCCAGGAGTCCTGGCTCCCAGCTCTAACCACTAGCCCCCACTCCCCTCCCAGAGCCAGGAGAGAACCCAGGAGTCCTGGCTGCCAGCCCCGCCTGCTCTAACCACCAGCCCCCAGTTCCCTCCCACAGCTGGGGAGAGAACCCAGGAGTCCGGGCTCCCAGCCCCCCGCTTCTCTAACCACTACACCCCACTCCCCTCCCACAGCCAGGGAGAGAACCCAGGAGTCCGGGCTCCCAGCCCCCCGCTTCTCTAACCACTACACCCCACTCCCCTCCCACAGCCAGGGAGAGAACCCAGGAGTCCGGGCTCCCAGCCCCCCCACTGCGCTAACCACTAGCCCCCACTCCCCTCCCAGAGCCGGGGAGAGAACCCAGGAGTCCGGGCTCCCAGCACCCCCCAGCTCTTTACAGCCCAGGGTGGGTGGGGCAGCAGGGGGCAGTGTCTTGCTGCAGGGGGGTTGGAGGGAAGGGGGGCCCCAGGGGAGCGGGGTCCAGGACACACCAGGCCCAGCAGTCACTTCTCACCAGATTTATTGTTAAGGTCACATTAGCAGCAGCTCCGAGTTCCCATGACGCTATTGCAGAATGTTATGGCCAGAACCCTGCCTGCTCCCCCCTCCCCGCCCCCCACCCAGCACGCTGGGTGCCCTGCCCCGGGGGTGGGGGGCAGGCAGGGGTCTATGGCTTTTCCAGAGGGGTTTCCACTTGGTCAGGTAGGCCTGGGGGGGCAGGTTGGTTTTTTTCCCCCTCACACACTTAAAACAAAGACCCAGGATGGATCATCGGGGGACGGACGGACAGAGAAACGCAGACAGACAAAGGTACAGACATGCGTGGGGGGAGGGGGGGGCGACAGACAGGAACTGGATGTCTGGGTTCTCCTAGACGGATTCCCCAGACCCCACTGTCCCTACGCTCTGGGGTGTGGGGGGGGGCGCATCCGGACGCCTGGGTTCTTCTCCTCCCCACACACACCCACACACCACGGCTGGTGGGGGGGGGGGTGGAAATCATGTTCATGCAAACCACCGAGAAACAAGTTGGGGGGGAGACATGTTCCCCCCACCAAGTCCAGATCAAGCATGAAGTCCCCTGGGGAGGGAGGCATGACCTCCATTTCAGTCAGGGGAAGCCAGGTGCTTTGGGGGTCACTGCAAACAGCCCTGCCCCCCCCAGATGAGTCAGTCATTGGGGGGTGACGCAGCCCCCACACAGTGCAGGGGTCTCTTCTCAGCACTGGGGGGGCGAGCAGCAGGAGCCATCAGTCGGGGGGGGACGCAGGGGTGTGGAAAGAACCAGCCAAGAGGTCCTTCCTCTTCAGGACGAGATGCAGATCCCCGGACACCTGGGTTCACAGTGCGTGGGTGCGGCTAAAGCCAGGCAACCTGCCCCTCCCACAAGGGGCGTGGGGCGTGGCAGCCCCCCACCCCCTACAACATGCAAGTCACTGAGTAGAGGGGGGCTCCCAGCCTGTGGTCTCCCACCCCAAACACACACAAATCAGCCCCAGGGAGGGAGAGGCATTTGGAGACGGCTCGGTCCTGGCTTCTCCTATGGCTTAGAGAAAAAATGACACCCCCATCCCCACGGCCCCCCCAACACATACACAGAGCTCCTGACGGCGCCTCCCCCTGGACACGGAGAACAGCGCAGAACCAGGGAGACCAGCCACGATCCTGGGGGGGGGAGAGAGAATCCACTCAGCTCTGCCGGTGCCCCTCACTCCCAACCCACAGCCCCCTGCTAGCCCAGCCCTGACCCCCCCCCAGCCCTGCCGGTGCCCCTCACTCCCGACCCGCAGCCCCCTGCTAGCCCAGCCCTGCCCCCTCCCAGCCCTGCCGGTGCCTCTCGCTCCCAACCCGCAGCCCCCGGCTAGCCCAGCCCTGTCCCCCCCCCAGCCCTGCCGGTGCCCCTCACTCCCGACCCGCAGCCCCCTGCTAGCCCAGCCCTGCCCCCCCCAGCCCTGCCGGTGCCTCACGCTCCCAACCCGCAGCCCCCGGGTAGCCCAGCCCTGCTGGTGCCCCTCACTCCCGACCCGCAGCCTCCTGCTAGCCCAGCCCTGTCCTCCCCAGCCCTGCCGGTGCCCCTCACTCCTGACCCGCAGCCCCCTGCTAGCCCGGCCCTGCCCCCCCCCAGCCCTGCCGGTGCCTCTCGCTCCCAACCCGCAGCCCCCGGCTAGCCCAGCCCTGCCGGTGCCCCTCACTCCCGACCTGCAGCCCCCTGCTAGCCCAGCCCTGTCCCCCCCAGCCCTGCTGGTGCCTCTCGCTCCCAACCCGCAGCCCCCGGGTAGCCCAGCCCTGCTGGTGCCCCTCACTCCCGACCCGCAGCCTCCTGCTAGCCCAGCCCTGTCCTCCCCAGCCCTGCCGGTGCCCCTCACTCCTGACCCGCAGCCCCCTGCTAGCCCAGCCCTGTCCCCCCCAGCCCTGCCGGTGCCCCTCACTCCCGACCCGCAGTCCCCTGCTAGCCCAGCCCTGACCCCCCCCCAGCCCTGCCAGTGCCTCTCGCTCCCAACCCGCAGCCCCCTGCTAGCCCAGCCCTGCCGGTGCCCCTCACTCCCGACCCGCAGCCCCCTGCTAGCCCAGCCCTGTCCTCCCCAGCCCTGCCGGTGCCCCTCACTCCCGACCCGCAGCCCCCTGCCAGCCCGGCCCTGCCGGTGCCCCTCACTCCTGACCCGCAGCCCCCGCTGCCTAAATACTCACAGCCCCTGGGGGTCTCGGTGGGGGGCTAGTCCGAGGGGACGCTCTCCACCACGATGCTGGGCTTGTCGCGCTGGGCACTCTTGGAGATGTAGCTGTTCAGGGCTTTCTCCTGGAGAGGGGGGCAGTGGGGTCAGAGATGGCACCAGCCCCCCAGCCCCTTCTCCCAACCCCCCCCGACCTACACAGCACAACCCCCCACCATGTCCTTCCCTGTCCCCTTCCCCATAGTACACGCCTGCCCATCCACATCCCCTCTGCCCCACAAGTGACCCCTCCCTGACCCCAAAGCCTGCCCCCTCCCAACACCCTCAGCGCCACCCCATGTAGCATGACCCCCCCATGCCCATGCCCCACGGCAAGGACCCCCTCGATGCGCCTGCCAGGCCACGTCCCACAGCATGCCCCCCGCAGCTCACCTCCTCAACCCCCCAGCACGCCCCCACTCCCCGCCCCATTACCTCCACCAGCGGATGCCAGTGCTCAATGGGTTGGCGGGGGCTGGCCAACATCTCGGCCCAGTGCTCCCGGCCCGGCCCCTCGGCGTCACTCCCCACCCGGCACATCCCAATCACCTCGTTGTGCCCGATGCTGGGGGAGAAACAGACCAGTCGATGCCGGACCCCGCCCCGCCCACGGGGACCCAGAGCCGGGGAGAGGACCCAGGCGTCCTGGCTCCCCCAGCCCCCGTGCTCTATCCCGCCAGCCCCCACTCCCCGTTCCCAGTGCCGGAGGTGGAAGCCAGGCGTCCTGCCCGCCGGGCGGCCGGGCTCACCAGTCGTAGTCCATGACGGTGATGGTGAGGCTGACGTGCTCGGTGCTCTCGTGTGGGATGTCGAAGACGAGGGCCTCGTTGTAGCTGGGGTTCAGGGTGTTCTTCTTGATGGACGTCTTGCGTTTCTTCAGCCGTCGCCCCTCGCACATGAGCGAGGCCTTGACGTAGGGGTCTGGGGGGGAGTCAGATATGGGCCGAATGGGTGGGGGTTCCCCAGCTCCACACCTCCCAATGCCAGCAGCCCCCGTCCCCGGCCACCCCTTCAGTGCCTCCCCCAAACCAGCAGCGTCCCCATCTCCCACCCCCTGTAGCACCCACAGCCCCCCATCCCAGCCCCCCTGGCCCCCAGCCCTGCCGATGCCCCTCACTCCCAACCCGCAGCCCATCCCAGCCCCCCCCCCCAGCGCAGACCCCTCGGTCCCTGACCTGAGAAGCCAGTCAGGTCCATGGCTTTGAGGTTGGAGGCCCGGATGATGGTCACAGTCAGGCGGCCGGCGGTGGGCAGGTAACAGAGGGAGAAATTCACCTCCCCAAGGTCGGCCTTCTCCTGCGGGGGGGGGGGAGGGGGTGAGTGACCCCAGGCGCCGGCATCCTGAATATTTCATGCCCCTTTACCAGGCTACAGCGATTTCCTGCCCATGAATATTAATGCCCGCCTGGCCCCGGGCGCCGGCCCAGCCCACATGTTACAGCCCCTGGCGCCTGGCCACCACCGGCCCCCAGGAACTGGCCGAGGAGAGCGAGAGGCAGACAAGCGATGGGCCAGATTTCCTGAGTCACTGCTGACCCCAGTGCAGTGCCCCTCACTCCCGACCCACAGCCCCCTGCCAGCCCGGCCCTGGGCCCCCCTCAACCCTGCCGGCGCCCCTCACTCCCGACCCACAGCCCCCTGCCAGCCCGGCCCTGGGCCCCCCCCAACCCTGCCGGCGCCCCTCACTCCTGAACCACAGCCCCTCTCTCCCCCCTCCCCCCCCACCCCCGGCCCCTCACTCCTGAACCACAGCCCTTGCTCTCCCGGCCCTGGGCCCCCCCAACCCTGCCGGCGCCCCTCACTCCTGAACCACAGCCCCTTGCTCTCCCGGCCCTGGGCCCCCCACAACCCTGCCGGCACCCCTCACTCCCGACCCACAGCTCCCTGCCAGCCCGGCCCTGGACCCCCCCCAACCCTGCCGGTGCCCCTCACTCCCGACCCACAGCCCCCTGCCAGCCTGGCCCTGGGCCCCTCCCAACCCTGCCGGTGCCCCTCACTCCTGACCCACAGCCCCTTGCTCGCCCAGCCCTGGGCCCCCCACAACCCTGCCGGTGCCCCTCACTCCCGACCCGCAGCCCCCTGCTCACCCGGCCCTGGGCCCCCCCCAACCCTGCCGGCGCCCCTCACTCCTGACCCACAGCCCCTTGCTCGCCCGGCCCTGGGCCCCCCCCAACCCTGCCGGCGCCCCTCACTCCTGACCCACAGCCCCTTGCTCTCCCGGCCCTGGGCCCCCCACAACCCTGCCGGTGCCCCTCACTCCCGACCCGCAGCCCCCTGCTCGCCCGGCCCTGGGCCCCCCCCAACCTTGCCGGCGCCCCTCACTCCTGACCCACAGCCCCTTGCTCTCCCGGCCCTGGGCCCCCCCCAACCCTGCCGGCGCCCCTCACTCCCGACCCACAGCCCCCCTGCCGGGAGTGGGGCAGGGACGCAGTAGTGGGCGGTCTCCCCTCACCTTCTGCACTGGCTCCGACCCCCCAGTGCGGCGCTAGGGGGCGCTGTGCTGCAGGGAGTGGGGGGCGCAGTAAGGGGTACTGCCCCAGTGGGGGAGGGGGAGGTTGTGGGGCTGGGACTGCAGGGAGCAGGACCAGGGACTGTCTGGGGCTGGTTCCCAGCTCCCCCTCTTTGGATGCTGGGGCCGGAGCGAGAGCAGCGGGTGGATTTCCTGGTGGGGAGGGCGTGGGGGAGGGGCAGGGCACACACACACACACACACACACCGCTTGCTCCTACCCTCCCCCGCCCTTTCCCTCACCTGAAAATCAGCTGACTTCCCGCAGCTCAAACCCCAGAGGGAGAGCCAGAGCCAGGGACAGGACAGTGATAACGGCAGGGCTGGGGGTGGGGGGGCCAGGGCCGGGCTGGCAGGGGGCTGCGGGTCGGGAGTGAGGGGCACCGGCAGGGCTGGGGGGGTCAGGGCCGGGCTGGCAGGGGGCTGCGGGTCGGGAGTGAGGGGCACCGGCAGGGCTGTGGGGAGGTCAGGGCTGGGCTGGCAGGGGGCTGCGGGTCGGGAGTGAGGGGCACCGGCAGGGCGGGGGGGGGGCCAGGGCTGGACTGGCAGGGGGCTGCGGGTCGGGAGTGAGGGGCACCGGCAGGGCTGGGGGGGCCAGGGCTGGACTGGCAGGGGGCTGCGGGTCGGGAGTGAGGGGCACCGGCAGGGCTGTGGGGAGGTCTGGGCTGGCAGAGGGCTGCGGGTCGGGAGTGAGGGGCACCGGCAGGGCTGTGGGGAGGTCTGGGCTGGCAGGGGGCTGCGGGTCGGGAGTGAGGGGCACCGGCAGGGCTGTGGGGGGCCAGGGCTGGACTGGCAGGGGGCTGCGGGTCGGGAGTGAGGGGCACCGGCAGGGCTGTGGGGAGGTCTGGGCTGGCAGGGGGCTGCGGGTCGGGAGTGAGGGGCACCGGCAGGGCTGTGGGGGGCCAGGGCTGGACTGGCAGGGGGCTGCGGGTCGAGACTGAGGAGCAGCATCCGGGCCGGGCGGGGGAGGGGAGCCCACATACCTGGCTGCTCTAATTACCCGTCAGTTTCATAAACAAGAAATTCAGCTAAAATATTCAAAAACACCCCGGCTGGAAATCCAGGCAGAATTGGGTCGAAGGCACCAGGAGCTGGGAGGAGGGGAAGAAGTGGGTGCTGGGGGGGAAGGGCAGGGTCCAGAGGGAAGCCAGATGGGGGGCCGTTAGATACCACGGCCCTTGCCCCACACTCGAGGCAGCATCCTACCCCTGGGTTGGGATCACCCCACATTATCCCCCTCCCAAGATTGCATCTCTCACTCCCTGGACTAAGACCCATCCCGTCTCCCTGGGGTCTCACCACGCTGGCCCCCGGACAAGCTACCTTCTCCCACTCTGGCATCTCCAGCAGGATGGCTGGGTGCGGGCACTGGGGGCTGGGCTGGGGTTGAGGGGCTAGAATGGAAGGTGGATCGAGTTGGTGGGTCTGGACTGGGGAGATGGATCGAGTTGAGTGGGGTTACGTTGAGTTGTGTTGAGTTGTTTTGAGCGTTGAACGTTGGGTTTGAGTTGAACTGAGTTGACACGGGGTTGGGGTTGAGTTGGGTCAGTCTAGGCTGGATTGAGATGAGTTGGAGTTGAATTTGGATTGGGTTGAGTTAAGGTTGACTTGCATTGAGCCGGGTTGGGTTTGCGTTGGGTTAAATTCGGGTTGGGGTGAAGAGCTGAGCTGAATTGAGATGGACAGCGGCTGAGCTGACGATTGTGTCAGCCTCCCGTCCCGCTCAGCCCTCCCACAACCCACACCCCGTCCCCCGCCGTCCCCCATGGCCTCACTCACCGAGCTGCCCTCCAGGATATCCCTCCAGATGGGCGTCTCCTCATCCCGCTCCGCCATCTCCAGCAAGTTGTCCAGCACCACCTGCCCGATGAGGTCGTGGCGGGAGAAGCGGTCGAAGTCGTAGACGCTGAAATGCAGCTTGCGTCCCGGCAGCTCGGCGAAGGGGACGTTGAAGTTGAAGGTCTCGTTGAAGACGGGGTTGAGCGTCTTGCGGTGCACCTTGGTCTGGAACTTCTTCTTGCGGTCGGGCAGCAGGTACATCTTGACGTAGGGGGTCGGAGAAGCCGTTGGCATCCTTGGCCGGCAGGTCCAGCGCCCGCAGGATCTTCACCACCAGCTGCTCCGAGGCGTAGGCGTAGCGCAGGGCGAAGCTGATGCGTCCGCAGGGAGGACCCTCCGCCTTACGGTGCTCCGCCTCGCCCGCCCGCTGCTTGTACAGCTCCGGCTTGATCTGACCAATGCTGGTGGCCTGCTCCGGCTTGTCCTCCCCGCCGTGGCCGACCACCTCCGGGCTGGACAGCTGCTGGGTCACGGGGCGCGGCAGGGTGTTGTACCTGCGAGGGACGGGGAGTTGGGAGGGGCGCACTGAGACATGGGGTGCCCCCAATCCACCTGGGGCAGGAGCTATGGGCTGGGAGCGGGGGGCAGCTCCCCCTGAATGCACTCCCCCCAGGAGCCCCCACACCCCAGGGCTCCCCTTGTGAAACCCCAGCTACTCCCCCTGCCCCCCTGAGACAGGTCCCCCCTTTGGTTCCCCCTCCCATGCCAGGTACGCTCCTGCTGCCCCCTAGTGGGAGGCAAGGGCGGCCCCGGGCCTCACCTGGGGGCGGGCGCCAAGGTGGCCACCTGCTGGTGGGAGTGCGCATTGGGCATGCCGCTGCCCTCCTTGGGGCCCACCTGCCCCTCCACCGGCAGGTCGGGCGAGGTCTGGCTCAGCTTGAGGGTGGCCTCGGGGTAGGAGTCCATGTCGAGGTAGGAGCGTTCGGGCATCTCGGGGCCCAGCTCCACGCGCTCCACCAGCAGGTCGCCGAAGGGCGAGTGGTGCAGGTGGCCGTGGAGGCCGTGGTCCTTGCGTGGGGCTGGCGAGGCCCCCTTGTCCCGCCAGGGGACCCAGCAGAGCTTCCAGGAGACGAAGAGCGAGACCCCCAGCAGCACGATGCCGCAGAAGGTGACGATGACGGACAGCAGGCTGACGGAGATGTCTGTGCGGGGCAGAGGCTGTGAGCAGCGGGAGGGGACACGGGAGACGCAGGCTGGAGACCCCGTCCTCCCATCGGTACCCCAGCCCCCTGGGCACGAAGACAGGGCCGCGCCCCCCACCCCCAGTATCCCACCGCCGCCACCTGGAACATCGACATGACCACGTGTCCCCCCCAGACTCCATCACCGCCTGAAAGGTGGACATGACCACGTCCCCCCACAATATCCCATCAGCGCCTGGAACGTCGACATGACCACGTCCCCCCACAATACCCCATCACCGCCTGAAACGTCGACATGACCACGTCCCCCCACAATACCCCATCGCCGCCTGGAACGTCGACATGACCACGTCCCCCCACAATATCCCATCGCCGCCTGGAACGTCAACTTGACCACGTCTCCCCACAATACCCCATCAGCGCCAGGAACGTCAACATGACCACGTCCCCCCACAATACCCCATCGCCGCCTGGAACGTCGACATGACCACGTCCCCCCACAATATCCCATCAGCGCCTGGAACGTCGACATGACCACGTCCCCCCACAATATCCCATCGCCGCCTGGAACGTCGACATGACCACGTCTCCCCACAATACCCCATCAGCGCCAGGAACGTCAACATGACCACGTCTCCCCACAATACCCCATCAGCGCCAGGAACGTCGACATGACCACGTCCCCCCACAATATCCCATCGCCGCCTGGAACGTCGACATGACCACGTCACCCCACAATACCCCATCGCCGCCTGGAACGTCGACATGACCACGTCCCCCCACAATATCCCATCGCCGCCAGGAACGTCGACATGACCACGTCCCCCCACAATATCCCATCGCCGCCAGGAACGTCGACATGACCACGTCCCCCCACAATACCCCATCGCCGCCTGGAACGTCGACATGACCACGTCACCCCACAATATCCCATCGCCGCCTGGAACGTCCACATGACCACGTCCCCCCACAATATCCCATCGCCGCCTGGAACGTCGACATGACCACGTCACCCCACAATATCCCATCGCCGCCTGGAACGTCGACATGACCACGTCCCCCCACAATACCCCATCGCCGCCTGGAACGTTGACATGACCACGTCCCCCCACAATATCCCATCAGCGCCTGGAACGTCGACATGACCACGTCCCCCCACAATACCCCAACCGCCCCAAAACATCGACGTGAACAGGACCCTCGCACCTTCCCAGCCCCCACCGAATGCAGACGTAACCCTGCCCCCCTGCAGCCTGCCAGCCCCCGGACGCGCCCACGGGCAGAGCCCGGCCTCTTACCCGAGTCGGTGGGCGGGGGGTGCCCCCGGTTCCGCAGCAGGTCGGTGAACTCCAGGCATTTCTCGTGTTGGTCCAGCGCCCGCAGGGAGAAGCAGAGCTCCTTGAGCAGGGTGAGCGCGCCACGGCACACGTCCTCCTCGTAGTCACCTGACATGGCGCCGCACCATCTGCCCACCGCGGGGAGAGAGCCCGTGAGCTGCCCCCGGGAAGCCCAGCCAGCGTCGCGCCCGACAGCCAGCCCAGCCGAGACACAGGGCGAGCCCCGGGAGGCACACCCACACCCACAGGGGAACATTCGCACGCCCGTGCCCACACAAACCCACGTGCATTCGCACGCCCATGTGCACACCAACATGCCTGCATTTCCACACCCCTGCCCATGAAGACATGCGCACACCCAAACACATGCGCATTCGCACACCCACACTCAGACAAGCGTGTGCATTTGTACGCCCATGCCCGCACAAACCCACATGGATTTGCATGCCCATGCCCGCACAGACACATTTGCACACCCATACCCACACATACACATGTGCATTTCCACACCCACCCACCCACACACCTGTTCACAAGTTTCCACCCGCAGGGCCAGCCCGTCTCTCACACGCCCTGCACTTGCATTCCCTCCTACGGTCCGAAGCAGCCACGCCCAAGGGGCAAAGCCTTGTGCACGGACACACGGCTCGGGCTCCGCCGCTCACTGCCGCACACCCGCCGTGGACTCACGTTCAGGCACAGTCGGGAGGGCACGCGGCCCCGTGCCCGCAGACCGGCACGTGCCCCCTCATGCACACCCAGCAGTGCCCCCCTCCCCATGCCCCCCCAGGCCAGGTCCCCTCCTCACTGACCTGCTCAGCAGCCTCTGTCTCCTGCCGGCTGGGTGCAGGTGGGGTGGCTGGATCTGCCGGAACCGGATGCAGGGCGCCGGCCCGGTGGCGGGCTGGGGTGGGGGTCAGTTCCAGTTCTGGGGAGTCTGTGCTGGTTGGAGACAGGCGCCCAGGTCTGCCATGCTGGACGCTGCCAAGGCCATGTGGTGGGGGGGACAGGCCCTTGAGGGTGCCCCCTCCAGGCGGCTCCAGGATCAGCGGTAGAGACCAGCCACCACCATGCTTCACGGGGGACGGGGGCGGGCTCACAGGGCCTGGGGTTCAGGAGTCCAGCTGGGAAATCGGGGGGCCGGGCGTTTCCATGTGGGGGTGGGGGATGTGGCTCAGAGATTCTTCTCCTGGGGAGAGGTGTTGGTTGGAGCCTTGGTATGGGGGAGGGTGGCCCCAGATTCACGAACCTGTGGGGGGGGGAGATCATTAGATGGAGGCATCTGCACCCCATCCCCCAAGCTCCATCCCTGCCCACCCCCCTCGCCAGACCCCAACCTTCCCACCTCTTCTTCCAGCCCCCATAACTCCGTCCCCCCTCCTTCCCACCCATATCCCCTCTGCCCCAGCCACAGTCCCACCCGCTCCCCACCTACTCAACCCCCCTTCATCTCTGCTCGGCCCTGGAGACCCTCCCGCCCCAGAGCCCAAAGTCACCCAGGGTTGGAGAGAGAGGAGCTGGGAGCCAGGACTCCCTGGGTTCTCTCCCCCGGCTCTGGGAGGGGAGTGGGGTTTGGTGGGTTAGAGCCGGGGGAGGGGCTGGGAGCCAGGACACTGGGTTCTCTCCTGACTCGTGCTGTCGGGGGATGGGCACTGTCTCTGTCTCCCCCAGGGGGCTGGGGGGAAGGGGGTGCACTCCTGCTCCTGGCCGCAGCAGCCTCGCCCCCGGACCAGCACTGTGCCAGCTTAGGGGTCCCCTCAGCCTCTTGCCTGCCCTGAACACCCAAGCTCCAGGCCAGATTCCTCCCCCCACCCGTCATCGCCGCTCCCCCACCTCCCCAGCCAGCCTGCGCCCTCCCGGGGCACAGAAGGGCCTTGGCCCAGAGCATGGGGGGGGGCAGGGCAGAGCTGGGGGGCTTGGGTTAAGGGCCAGTTGGGGGGGGGGTTGGGATCAATGGGGGGGGGCCCTGGCCAGCCCAAGTCCCCGTCTTTCCCCCTGAGGCCAGGCCAGGCAGCTGCTCCTTGTCACATCGCGCTGGGGCTGCTCCTGCCTGCCAGCGCACCGCAGAGCCCACGCTCCCACCACGCGTGTGCCGAGACCGGCCGAAATGTGTAAAGCCCCACACACCCTTCGGGGCACGCCCTTGTGCGAACTGGGCCGAGAAGGGGGCGGGGAGCCCACGCGTGAACCAAGACCCGGCTCGCGAACACCCCGGCCCACCCCACGCCCGGGCTGGGATTTCTCCGCTCCGGCTCCCCCGTCACTCCCGTGGTTTCAGCCACTGCTCCCCGCACGGTGAGTCACCAGTGCCACACGGGGGGCATGGCCAGGGAAACCCCTGTAGACAGACGCGGGCGGTCAGAGCAAAGCTCAGAGGCACACACCCCCCTCCGACGCTCAGCCGCCCCCCGCAGGGCCGGGTAGAATTAAGGCTGCTGCTGATTGGCCCAGGGGGGAGCGGGGGGCACAGAGGGACAGGGGTGTGCGGGGAGCGAGGCGTGAAGGCAGCTCTGTGCTCGGACTCCCACTCGCAGCCAGGGATAGAACCCAGGAGTCCCAGCTCCGCCCAGCCCCGCTCCAGTAACCGGAGCTGCCTGCAGGGCACATGTCCAGCCATGCCCGGTCGATACGTCGCTTGGTGCTGCCAGGAGCCCCCCCCCATACACACTGCAGGGAGTGGCTCAGCAGTTTGGTGGGGGGGGCTGCTTCCCAGCCGCCGGGGCGACAGGGCAGGGGCCAGAACCAATTCCCAGCGTTCGGGCCTGAGAGGTTCGTAGATAAGGAAGGTCAGGGCAGCTGGTGAAAGGCAGCTAGGCCTGGTTGTGGATGGAGTGGCAGGACTCCTGGGTTCTCTCCCCAGCTCCAGGAGGAGTGGGGTCTGGTGGGTTGGGGGGGGGCTATGGGGAGCCAGGACCCTTCCCAGTCTCTCCCCAACCACTAGATCCCACTCCCCCTCCAGGAGCCAGGACACCTGGGTTCTCTCCCCCCTGGCACCCGGGGGGAGTGGAACCCAGTGAGGGGGGATCTGGGAGCCAGGATGCCTGGGTTCTCTCCCTCGCACTGGGAGGGGAGGCTAATGGTTAGATCCGGGGGGTGTACCACTGTCTCTGAACCCCAGACCCTGCCCTATGCCCCCCACCCCCGTCCCAGTACTGAACCGTTCCTTGGCCTGGCAAGTCCCCAGCCCCAGCTCCGTGAACAGGCCTCAGTCCCCCCACAGCAGAGAACCTGGCATGCTGCTGTGGAGTCCAGCACCCTCCCCTGCCGTGCCCCCCGCGACCATGCCCACCCCCACACACCGGTGTATCACCCTCTATCTCTGCCACACGCCCCCGTCAGCCCCAAGCGGGGTTTCTCCTGCTGGGGAACCCCAGAGTGTGAGCAGCTGGGGGCATCGCACACTCACCCCCCCCTCACACACTGGCACAGTGTCACGCCTGCCCGGTCTCACTCTCTCTGTCGCACACCCAGCGTGAACCACGCTGGTGTCACACACACACAGAGTCTTTGTCTCGCGTGCAGCCAGCCGGAGCAGCGCTGGGGTC